GGCGGGCCAACTTGGGCCAGGATTGCACCAGCAGATTGCGCATTTTTGTAACATTTTTGTCAAGGTAATATCAAAAGACGCAGAAGTCGTGAACTCTAGGCATGGGCAGTGTGCAGAACCAATGCCCTGCCGCCGTCGGTCGGTTGAGACATAGTTCATGGGAGAGAGGGAGCCACTGAGCTACTGAAAACGTGGGAAGGTGGTCATAGGTTTCTGCCGGAAACGAACGTGTCCCTGCCCGGATGTCTTGGAACATCTGCTCACCAAGTCTCCCATTGGCTCCAGAATGGAGTCTACTGTAGGACATAGTCATGTGGTGATACATAAATCTCGAAAGCGCGGGACCCAATGTCGAAAATTTTTGAGCGCTCAGTTCCGCAGATTCTATTCTAACCAATCTCAAGTCACTTTTGGCTAGTGTATTCTGAGCCAAGTCGTGAGCGAGAAGGTTCCCAAAGTAGCCAGCTTATCGAGGCTGCAGCCACTCGCGAATAAAGAGAAAGGAGCAAGACTTTGAGATATCATTTCTACATACGGTGTGAACCTCAAGTGACCCGCAAATGACCCGCAAATGGGAGCGTCAACGGCGTGATATCGAACTATGCCTGGGCCAGCCAATCGGAAAAGTCAAGCCTACGATGAGTTCCAGTCGCTTAGATGGAGACCCATTATGCTATACGGAGCTCTGCGTCGATATCTGAGATTCCAGGCGCTTGGCACAACGGCTGAGTTAGTTGAGATCCGTTATCTACCAAGTTCCCCATCCTTATCGTCCATGTTTAGTCATTCCATTCTACCCATCTTGCTACGCCAAGCCATCAGCATTCTCTAACTACCTCGTACACTCAAGGTAAGTCATCGTCTTAACACCCAAAGCCTTGGCAGTGACGATGACGCATACTGGTATAGAAGGCAACTGCTACACGACAAGGAGGAACAGTTGTCCTCCTAAGACATCTACTGTTACAGAAGGCGTCTCTAGTGACACTGACTATGAGCTTGCCTGCGTCCAAACCTGTCCGGAGAGAACAGTATATTCCGGACCAAGGACCGGGTACCACAACGTCGGTTCGTCCAACACCGCCGAGTTCAATAGTGGGTGTTCGGAGAACCTAATAAAGCGTGAAATCGCCCAGCATCTGAATGTCTCGAATTTCTCTCGAGCTTTATCCGGCAGTTCCGATGAAAAGCCTCCCCAACGATATGGTTGTTCGATCCCACTTCCTCTGACTTTATCATACTCTCCTAGTTCCGAAACCCAGGAAAAAGAGTGGATGTTTGCGTTCGGTAGCCTGTTAGGTCACTGGAGCTTCAGCGGCGACCTGTGGTCTGAGAACCAATGCTCACGTTACATTTCGACATATATATAGGTCAGTTGTAGCTCGTCGACGGCGGTTGAGCTTGGTCTTTCCACCACCGAACGGTATTCATGCACATATCAAAATAAACGGCCGTCAGATGACTCGCTTCTCTTACCTCAGCCTCGTCGCGGCGTCGTTGCTGACTTCGCGGGCCGCGTCGCTGGACGTCCTCTCCTCTGCTGCGGACGGGTCGTTGACCTTCACAATCACTGGGGCCAACTATAGCGTGCAGGATGAGGACTTTTCGACAGGGATTTACTATGTCCCACCGTTAAGTCAATCTGCACCGGTCACCACGTTCGAGTCGTCTGGCTTGAGCGGCATCGTCGAGACCAACACCTATATGCCATTCACAGTCATTGTGACCAACGCCACCACCCTGACTGGGGATGTCCTCGAAGAAATCGTGACCACGTATTCGGAGGATGACGTCTTTACTCCGGGTTTCCTGCAAGGTGCGATCTTCTTGCTTTCTCTGGCATTTGATCGGCGCTTGTATACTTGCTGGGCCGAGATCCTCAGCTGTTGACCGATATACTCAGGTGTCCAGATCATTACAACCGGCGAGGCTTCGTGGGAACAGTCGGCGACCACCTACCTTGCCACGCTGGAGCCCAAGCTGCTGCTCCTACCGTCCACCGTAACTCGTCAAGACTCTAGCACGGAGTCATCTCCCAAGCCATTCGTCATCGCCTCTGTGCCCGCGGGCGACGACACCACGCCACCAGGACCATACCTCGGCACGCTCGCGTCTGGTGGTACCTTAACACTGCGCAAAGTCTACGCTATGTTTTCCGACTACCAGGAAGCCATGATGAGCGGCGTTACCGAGAACGATGACGGCTCCTTCTCCCAGGTCACGGCATTCAACCCGGCCCAGTTCTCCGCCCTGATTCCGTTCCCCTCGAAGCTGTACTCGTCTTTAATGGACCGCGATCAGTACCCCCTGGCGGGGCTGCGGTTCAGTCTGAAGGACCTCATGCCCGTACGAGGAGTTGTCCTCACAGGTGGCAGTCGTGCATACGCTAAGCTGTACGATACTCCTGCCAACGAGACCGCTCCGGCCATCGACAGACTACTCAGCCTCGGTGCCGTTTTGGTCGGTATGGCGAAGCTATCGACCTTTGCGTATGGCTCATGGCCCTACCAAAACATGGATTATTCGGTACGTTCTCTAGGCTACGATTGGAATGAAGGGCAAGTAATCTAATTGACGCGAATATCTAGTATTCTTGGAACATTCGTGCTGATGGCTGGCTGGGTTTGTCAGCATCGAGTTTCGGCTCAGCCGCTAGCATCGCGGCCTACGATGCTCTGGACTTCTCCGTTGGCAGTGACACAACTGGAAGCGTGCGGAACCCGGCCGATCGTGCCGGGGTCTATGGGTAAGAAAAATACTAGCTTCTTTCTCTGTCTCCGATACGCGGTATACGATTACTGACTTGACATGCAAAAGAATCCGGCCCTCGTGGGGAGCGATTGATTTGACCGCCGTTATCCCCAGCGCCACGTCTATGGACTCTCTCGGCGTTCTCGCGAGATCTCCTGCGATTTTGACCCAGGTCTTGAGCGCGTGGGAAACGGTCGAAGATGGTCCACTGGAGCGTGGTGACTTTACTCTGCCGAAGAAGATCTTCTTCCCCTCTGAGTTCTTCCCCGTTAACAATTCGGCCGCCCAGACCGTCATCGATAACTGGCTTGCCAATATGACGGAAGCTCTAGACATGGAGATTGAGGAACAAAATGTCACGACCTTGTTCCGCGAGACCATCAACCAGAACGATACCCTGGCTACCTATACAGCTGACTTTGGTTCCTTGACCCGCTATGACAACTGGAACTTGTTCGGTGAGAAGTTTGTTGCTGACTACGAGGAGCGTTTCAATAACCGTACCCCGGCTGCCGATAACCAGGTCCTCATCGCCTGGCGCCAGGCTCGTACATATCCAGAGTACCGCAAACAGTGGAATGAGGATCGCATGGCGACGTTCGGTGACTTTGTAAACACCAAGGTCATCCCGTACAGCAACGAGACTTGCACCGAAGGGTTCTGGGTCTACCACATCTCTGACACGGGCGGCGGTGTCCCCGAATACCGTGATGTGCTCAACTACGACTACTTTCCCCCCTTCCTACCCATGCGCGCCGCCTCGATAGCTCCGTACGCGAAGCTTGTCGATGTGACCGTGCCCATTGGAAAGATCACCTATGATAGTTTGATTTCTCTGGTACGTTACCCGTACAATTGTACTCATGTCTCATCACCCCTGAGATAATTGATCATCCTGGCTGACCCGTGTCTTTCATCCATCTATAGCGCGAGGAAGAACTCATCATTACTCTGAACTTCGTGGCTCACCGCGGCTGCGACGCGGTGCTCCTCAAATTCCTCAACCTGTGCGAGGCCCGCGGCTTCTGCAACCCGGTCAAGACGGGACCTACTGCATGGTAAAGGAAGGGAGAGTACCTGTATTGGGGGTGGTTTACGGTATTCGCATACCAGCTATATTCACCACAGGGCCGATACATTTCCTAATACAAAGTGTAGACTTTTGGGTTTGAAAAGCAAATATCTCTATGTATAGACCGAGTTATAGTTTTCACATAGTTTAGAAGTCAACTCTAATATCATATTAAACTCCTTCTGATTGAGTTCAACCGATTTTAATACAATATCGATGTTATGGCGACAGCAGCGGCGACCCGAGGTCGACCTGGAGGAGCATAGAAGAAGAGAAGGCGGACCAGAGCTCATGTACGTGAACTGCTTACCAGATCGGTCTTAGAACTAGTGATTTGATATATCGACATTTCTAATCACGACATCGAATTTATCGAGGATATTCTCGCCTACACCATCGAGCGTGGTGTTGGACACCTCTAGTGAGAGGGGTCCTTTGGTAGCCCGTGGCCAGAACAGCGGGCCGCACCCCTCTCAACGGGCATGAAAGCACACCTCTGCAGTCTCGAGCGGGTAGAGACGGTGACCCCTCGACCATGGCAGCAATGCGGCGTCTTGGGAGGCCGGGGTATCGGCTGGGGGAATCGGCAGGATGTATTTCACAGCTGCTGCGTTATGGTGCGGGAAATGGAGATGTCTTTCACAAATAAATGGTGCTCCGCTAATATTATAGACGAGTCAGAGGACATTGACAGGCGTTTATCTCCTTTTGCAGATTTTAACCAGTAGACATGGTGTTGGAGAGGAGGAAGAACAGCATGGAGAACGAGACTTCGAGTGCAGTACGAACGTACTCAGCACAAGGATGTTCTGTACTAGGAAGGTATGTAGAGCGGCTTAAAAGCAGCAACCAGCAGCGCCTCTTTCGAAGCCCCAAGCTATGCAAGCGTGGTGCGCGGCCACCCACGCACCGCGCTGGCAAGCCAAGACATTCAGCCTCAGCGTTGCTCCTCTCCCGTCGAGCCGCGTTTCAACCGTCGCAGGCAGCCTCAATTCACACTTCAGAACCAATTCCCTCTCCCCGAAAGCAATATTGGGTTATTGGACTGGGTTCTGCTACTCTCGATTCACAAGGGACCTAGATTTGCAGGATTACATTCTGTCACTCTGCCATTTCTCGGGGGCCGAGCCTGAATAGACAGTCCTCTGCTCTCTCTGGCCATGTCGATTCGCCAACGATGAACATGAATATCTTCCGCATCCTGGGCGATGTGTCCCATACCGCCTCCAAATGTATCCTCATCTGGGCCATCCATTCCAACAAGAGTGCCGAAGGTCAGAGTCATCACACAGTCTGAGCGCCCCTCACTGAACAAGTCAAACTAACGAGTCCGCAGGCGTCTCTTTGCTGACCCAAATCCTCTATATTGCCGTCTTCGTCACCCGTTATCTCGACCTGTTCTGGGTCCCGCCGTCTGCATCATGGTGGAATTTCATTCTCAAGAACTTCTATATCTGGTCTTCAATTTATATCATCATCTTGATGACTCGAGTCTTTGCGCGGACCCGCGAGCGAGAAAAGGCCTGGAAATGGGGTGCTTATGCCACTGCAGCATCAATGCTTGCTGCTCCTCTGGTCTGCTTGACCTTTAACGGACCGCGCCGGACGACTTTTACCGAAGTCCTGTGGACATTTTCCATTATCCTTGAGTCCGTCTGCGTTCTCCCGCAGCTTCTCCTCCTCCGACAGACCACCGTCCCGACTGTCATTGACTCTTTCTACCTCGTCACTCTAGGCTCCTATCGAGCATTCTATCTTCTCAATTGGATCTACCGGGCTTTCACGCCGTCGAAACCTGATGCCATTTCGGTCATCTTTGGCATTGTTCAAACTGCGTTCTATATAGACTTCGCGTGGGTCTACTGGACGAGGCAAAGAGTCAAGCTGCGAGGCGGTGGCATCGTCGATGCAGAGGACTTGCGGAAAGGCTGGTTGGTCAACAGGGTCATCAACCCTACCCGACCAACACCGGAACAGGACACAGAAGCTGGTGACGACGAGAACAATGAGAACCCTCAGCAACCGAAGGTCAACCGCTGGGGTGCACGAGGCATATCTATCTCGGCGGACGACACATTACAGGACCATGATAAGGGCAAACGGGCATCCAAGTCGTCGAACCCCGAAGCCAATCCGATGCTGGAAGATGACACTTTTGTGGACGACGAGGATGACGTCCCTAGCTAGATGAGCCCGGAAACAAGGTGTTGAACAGTGGCGAAGATTGGCGCGAGGATTCGTCGTCACGGCTGTAAAGCATTTCTATGTATAACATGGACTCTTTCTTTTCTGTTGCTATGTTTTAGCAGACCTATGGGATTTTGATCTATACATAGCCGAGGGGGTTGCATGCTCAATCTCGAGTTCGAAGGCGTTGCAGGGTTAAGGCGAGTTTAGCGCTCTATCTGATTCTCTTTGACGGTGAAGGTGTTGAATGACAAGCAAGCAAGCGAGTAGCTGTATATCTGGGTAGATGCAAATGTATTTGAGAGACGCAGAAACAATATGCACTCTGAGCAAGATCAACAACTCAAGAAGCATCCGCGAACCTAATAGACGGATTCATATCAGTGTCGCGCCCATCGCTGCAAGAAACCCCATGTCAGACAGGAATAATATTAAAGTCTCGGTGATTTCCCGAACGAGCTTTGCCAGTGCCAGCCTAATTGACAATTGACAGAGTAATAATTGACCCTTTGCGTGAACATCTCCGCATCTACTGATACAACCCCGGGCAGCCCATCATCCCATTGATCATCTCGGCTTATCGCTCCTTTTCCTCGTCTACAAATGCCACCCTTGAGCGGACGTACCCTTCGTTTCCAACAAACAATCCTCCGGAAGATCGCTCCGCTCGAGAGAAACAGACGGACAATGGCCACCCAAATCCCCACCAAGTTCGACATCAACACCACGTACCGGATGAACTCCGGCTACGAGATTCCTGCTCTGGGCTATGGTGTTTACCAGACTCCTGCGGCGACGTGCGAAGAGGTGACACTGCATGCCTTTCGCGTTGGTTATCGACACGTTGATTCCGCACGCGCGTACCGCAACGAGCAACCCTGTGCGGATGCGATTCGCGGTTCTGGGCTGAAGCGAGAAGAAATCTTCTTCACCAGCAAAGTCCCACCGAAGAGTATGGGCTACGAGGCGGCAAAGAAGTCGATTGAGTCATCCTTCTTTCAGACCAACCTCGACTATATTGACCTGTACCTCATCCACTCTCCGTACGGTGGCAAAGAAGCCCGGTGCGGGGCATGGAAAGCGCTCGCCGAAGCTCAGAAAGCCGGGAAGATTCGATCCATTGGCGTCTCCAACTATGGTGTACATCATTTGGACGAGCTGGAAGAGTACATCAAGACCTCTGGAGTTGGCGGCACCATCGACGTTGGTCAATGGGAAATCCATCCGTGGCTTCCGCGCGACGACATTGTGGAATGGTGTCGCAAGCGGAACGTCGTCGTCGAAGCATACTGTCCCGTCGTCCGCGGCGAGCGTGCCAATGAGCCAGTTCTGAAACGACTTAGCGAGAAACATGGGAAGACGTGGGCACAGATATTGCTACGATGGAGCTTACAAAAGGGTTATGTACCATTGCCCAAGAGTGTCACTCCCAGCAGAATCGAGGAGAACGCCGCCATCTACGACTTTGAGCTTGACGAAGAAGACATGAAAAGCCTTCATTTTCCCGACTCATATGCCCCTTGCGCCTGGGATCCAACCACCAGCCACGACTAGATGCTCAAACCGGGACGGTAGCCACCAACGATTGGACAGCAGCTCCGGTTTGCTACTTTACCTGCCCATCGCATGTACCATGCAGAAAGGTTGACATGAGTGAGCGTGGTGGCATTTGAGCCCTGTCTATTGTATTGGTATGTGTTCAAGGCCTCGAATGTACTTTATACCTGAGATGTCATTCATTAAAATATTTACTTTCCCCCATTGTTCCTGCAATGCGAGAAAGTGAGCGTGTTTCTGTGTGTCGCGAAGCGCACGATAGCAATTTTGTCTATGAGATTCCTTCGGGGGTACGGTCTATAAGGAAGAGCCTTCTACAACGGTGTATTGCCTGAGCGAAGACTTATAAGGCTACTCTTGGTCCACCTTCTGCTAACACTCTGGCACTCTTAATATCTTGCAGCATGTTGATGCATCTCTGTGCTCCCACTGGAGACACAATCATTCTCTTAGAACTCACGAACTCCACCTTTACAGCTCGTCAGTTTGTATTCCGCCTCTGAGAAAAACTATGTCAATGATACCGTATCTGATCTCAATTATTGCGAAGAAAAACCGAATTAATTCATTTCCAAAGACGACGCTGTTCAGAGGCTCCCTGTGGACAAACCTCAAATTTCCCCAAGACCCAAGTATATTAATTATAACTCTCTACCCAAGGCTCGGCACATAAGGTCATAAGATACGCACTAGTGGTCTGCATTCTCCAATACAAAATGTCCCTCAACACTTAATACTCTCAAATCAGAATAAGACAGACAAGACTTCCGGACTGAAATGGTCACTCTTCCTCATTTATTGCCAGCCCATCGCTCATGAAGATGACTGTGGAACCGTCATGGGCAGAGTCTGTGCATCACCATTCGTGTTCTGAGAGGTGAAGACTACAAGGACGGCGCAATAACTGCAAAGAGTCAGTCATTTTACTCAAGATAGGATCACACGATGCGATACACTCACGCCGCAGTCACCGCAAAGATTTCGTGCTGCTTCGCAGCCGTCGCCGTGGAGCAGAGCAATGCGAACGCGATGGTAAAGGCAAACGCCAACGAGTTCTGCGCGTACCCGTCGAGGTGTCTCAACCTGTAGAGGACCAGGACTGGGCCCATGATCAGGGCCGCAATGGCGATGGTGTACAGGAACCCGACGACCCGGTTGAATCGCTGTCTCTCAAACAGCTGGATATGGATGGTCGAACCCTCGAGCTTCCGGTTCTGGACTTTGTTGCGTAACAAGCACTATTTTGCCCACATCAGTCTCGACCTCCCCGATTCTCGGGACGATAACAGAGAGGTGGAAGGAGGGGGTTCATACTCGGACCAAGGACCTGCTGGTCCGTGTAAAGAGGTGGCTGACCAGGCCATGGACCCAGGAAGAGTTTGGCTCTCCACCGAGCACGATCAGGTCGTCGATCTTCCTGATCCAGCTGCGGTCCCTGTTTGCGAGGCTCCCATCATTGTGGATCAGACTGGCGATGCTCGCGCGGTCTTCGTCGCAAGGTCTCTGCCACTGATACAGTGTTGCGGAGCGCACCAAAAGATCGTCTTAGCTGCCACGGTCAGCTCGTTCCATCTCAAATACATCGAGGCGAGGCAAAGGGCACACCGTAAGCCTTCAGTTGCGCGTCGAGCTCCTGGAACAAGACCCGACGCACGGCTGGGGTCCGCATGTCGTCGCCGTCCCGGTTCGACAGGTATCGTCGTGTCTTCGCTGACCTGGCGTCCTGCATGTCCTGGTAATCGAGCCGGGACTCCATTTCTCGGAGGATGTCTTGATGCCACAACAGCAGCCGCGTTCTCAGGAATCCGAATCGGCGATAGATCATAAAGTTGGGATCGCTGTCGACGACGGTCGCTATTCTCGGCCATCCTCTGACTGCACACTCGACTAATAAACATACATCAGAGCCGTGATCACGACCTTTGGCAGCACTTACGGGCGCGGACGTCGGTGTTTTCCTCCTCCGGTACCTTTCTATCATGTTTCTGCTGCTGGAGATGGCGACTTATACTGACGAAGTGACGCAAGCAACTCCAATCTATTCATTCTGTTATTTCTGTCTCTGAATGTGTCAGATGGACTCACTGCTGACACTCTCTGGACACTCATCGGTGGTACGAGTTCCTTTCTCGAGGTCGTCGACTGGCATATCGTGGCTCCAGTTGGAACTATTTGTTATAATTCACGTTTTGCTTTACTGGAAGACAAGATCGAAGACAGGAAAAGCCCAAAGAGATATCCATGGTTGTCGTGCTTGACACAGGCTGCAATGGTGCATTGTTACACGCTGTCAGTCGCACGAGGCTAACTCTCGATCTCGAGCCTTGGACACATTCCCGTCGCACAAGATGTACATGCCGTCCTCCCCTGGTGACCTCTCCCCCACAGCACCGCCTCAGGTTTAGATCTACGTTTCTTATCCGGTCCCTTTCATCAGCTGACAGTACATGATACCACCGATATGTTCACGCTCGTTGCTCCAGACTTCCAGTCTCGGTACTGCTTTCCCCATCGCCATGAATCCGAGACCAGCCTTTCTTGGCCCAGCCCAAGGCCTTCGCTTTGATCCCTTTCTTGGCAGCCTTGCTCTCATCCCGTTTTGGTTTCTCTTTCGTCTTGTCATAGTCTCTATACGAGTCATCGCCATACCCTTCAGGTCGGATGGTATCGGTTTCCTGGAGCCATGTTAGCAACGGACACAGCTCATGGAGGAACATTCGCATGCTTGCACGGTTCCTTGGACGGGCTGTATGTTTGAGTGTGGGCGCTTCCATTTCTTGCCAATCTTGGACTGTTTCTGGTTCGAAGACATTCTATTTTTGCTGGATTTCTTTGGCGGGCTATTCAGGTGCCATTCCACGACTTGTCCTCTACACCGGCGTCCAGGGGATGCATCTTGATGATGATGGCGGGGTTTTGAACCGTTCACACTGAAGGCAGCTTCATTCACTGCCTCGTTTGCTGGGAAGGTGGCATCCAAGGCAGTCAAAGGTCCGTTTCAGTGGAGGCAGGCATTGTTCACGAAAATGGTCTACAGAGGGGCTGAACAATCATAAGATGGAGCGATTCACCGCGGTTGGGAGGATGAAGAGCAACGCCATCTGGCTAGGTGGTCCATCAAAGGAGTAGATTTCCAGTGCGAACAACCTATGCCGCAATCACAGCGGGGAAAGGAACAACCGCCAGCATCCCTCTAGTGGCAGCCAAACTAACCTTGGAGAGACATGCCGGTCTGTCCTGACGCCCTGACGCCCTGACCACCGTTGGTGAGAAAATAAAGGGGATAGAAAAGGTTCCAAACACAGAGACAGGGACAACGAAAGGCCCCCCTCAACCCGCCTTCCACAGTTATCCTGGGCTGACTGCATTATGAACGAGGCTTTCGAAGTGAAGACCTGGGCTCACTTCATCGCAAAATCCAAGACATTACCAAAAGGGGGCACAAGAACCTGCCTGAGACAAGAGTCCACATAACTTCACATGCTGAACTCATGTGTGCCTAATAGGAACTGGTGCAAAGGGGTGCGAGAATCGAGAATCGTTGAAAAAGTAGGACTTGAGATGAACTCTTCGGCCGGTACAGAGCGAATGTTCGACTGAAGAAGCAAAAACGTCCTCCTGGAGTCGTTAGCCACCGTACGTTGGTTTGTTCAAGGACATTGCAAAAACAGAGTGCACGCGGCGCCTCTCGAGCACCGCATTATACCCCTCCAAAGCGCGCAGGATGTCATTCAACGGTACAAACCTGACCCAGACATTATCCTTGCCAACCAATAAGTGACTGACGCTGTCATCTTTCTTCTATGCCCGCTCTTTCACAGGCGATCATCTCTGCAGACCCCATTCGAGACATCAACCAGGAGGACACAATCTGGTACAATTTTTGACAGTCGAGAAGGCGGGCAAACCAAAGCACCGTCGAGCAAACAAGACAGTCGCGTTGGTGGTGTAAAATAGTACCTGGAAAAGGAGGATAAACAAGAGGATATCTCAACCGGGAAGCTGGTCGTTCGTTGGTGTCGACGAACGGATGACTGACCGAACAGTTCGCGAATAGATGGAGCAAGCAAGCAAGCAAGAAAGACCTCACACATCTAGGTCTTTTCTCTCCCTTTCCGCCCATCTCACGCCCAGATGATACGTGACAGACAGAAAGACAAAAAGACATGAGCGTGGCGTGCCTGATTCTTCGAGAGGGCCTTCTGGTAAATAATCCAAACCAAATTCTAGGCTGAAAGAGAAATATTCCTTTGACAAATATTTCCCTGAACTTCCACTCAAATATCAACGTCTTGAATGCCCGTCCACATTTGCTGATATCCAATACCCGATACCGATACTAGATAACTGACAATTATACGCGCGCTATGTTACCTAGGTATGTACATCCAAGGCTGAAGGCGGCTGGCGTTTCGGTCGTAAGTGATGGCTTGGGGTTGACGGCAGGGGACGGGAGATCAGACGCTGTAACAGGGGAAGTTTACAACTTCAAAAAACGCGACATAGGACGTGAGGGAGATCCTGAAACGGGACATGCCATGCGCAAAGGACAGATGAACGGTGTGGTATGGCGTGACTGGCGGAGACAACCTCTGACATAAAAGGAAAACCGAATAGAGAACTAGCATAGCATAGCATATACCATGATCGTCCTCAATGACAAAGTGCACATGGATTGATTGATCCTCTCACCGCGACTAGCCTTGCAACCTCATTTATGTACAGTTTTTTTCCTTCTTCCCCCAGTAAACATCTTCGCTCGCTACACCAGCCCTCAAATCTTGACGCTTCCTCTGCTTATCGGTACCAGTACTCTGGCTTGACGAAATCGGCCATGGTCTTTGGTGTTTCGTAGGTGGGACCGTGGTGATCGCCGTGATGGCCGTGGTCGTCGTGAGAGTCTGGCGCTCCGACGTAGTCCATTCTGTAGACACTCCCGCACTCCGGGCACCGTTCAAAGGGACGGTCGCGGGTCATCTGATCAGGGAAGAAGAAGAGAAAAGGTGTTAGTCAGAATCTACGGTTGAGTGGGCTGGCGTTGACAGTGCGATAGAGAATTGGAAAGAGGTGCGACATACCACGAGCCATTTGACATTATGTGAGTCAGCGGGAGAGCCAGTGCAGCCAACCTGGTACTCGGCTCCAGCTGATTTCACTGCAATGGGATCCTCGAATGTACCTGAACAACACAATCTTGTAAGTGTGTCTGGTCGAGGAGCACAACCGCCGCTCCATTTCTCCTGGAGCTGGCCCTTCTCAAGAACACATACCAATTCTATCCGACGGGAGTGGTGACATGTCAAAGATATCAATGCCTTGCATCTTTCCCAAGATTTCGAGACGTTCCAGACCAGTTGCTTGTTCGAGATCGGTAGGGACGGTACCAGGCGCGGCACCAGGTGGAAGGAGATCGGCTTCGGTTTTGATTTCTAGAGAAGCAGAGTTGCCAAGATCAGTATGTTTTCCCTTTGCACTTGTAATTTCTCTGGGGTACAAGGTCTTCAACTCTGAGGGCGACTCATGAGGGTCCATACCTTCAAAAGGAAGAAGTTTGCCCTCCGGATCGCCGGGCTTCGGATCGAACTTGCTTGCTCCTGTAGACATCCATATCAGTCAGTTGAGCTCCGATGTGGCAGTCAGTGTCGAAACAGCTTCTCCGAGTAGATCGTCGAAGCTTCGAGGGTTCAATTGCACGTACGGCGAGCTGTGATGGTGGTGAATGTTCGGGGAGCGACGCGGACAGCTGACATAGGCACACGCCTAGCGAGAGAGAAAGCTGCGCGTGCTACCGACATGGTGGAGGCCGTTGAGATGTGAGGTGAGAGTCGATGGGGGAGGAGTTGTAAGAGCACAGAGGTCAAAGGTCCAAAGTGTCGAAACTGCGATTGAGGTTCGGGAGGATGATGATTGGCCAGTGAGTTTCAGAGCTCATACCACTTTTTACAAGCCGCAAACACCGCCATTCAGCCTCGTCACAGCCACAGTCACGTGTCAGGCTGAAGAAAAGAAAACAGTTGCTCAGTATACATATAGACGTACGGGCACATTGTCTAGTGATGGTCTCTTGTGTGTTTGTAATGATATCCTAGCACTAATATGTCCAGCACTGAGAGTTTAGGCTACAGTAGAGCACTGTGGATACAAAATCGTGTGACTTGGCCTTTCCCTCCATGCTTTTACGCATGCAAATTCTGGGATAGTAAATTTACTGCTGTGTGGTCCTTGTGGAGGTTATAACGCCCTCAAGTTAGTAGAAACATGTGACCCCGCGATCGAAGCTGTCCGGGAATACTGTCCAAGAATATTACCACAAATCGTATTAGCTAGTTCTCGGATTTACAGGTATGGTTAGGATCAAGCTTTTCAAACAGTAGATATTGCGGATAAACTAAGCAAGCCGAGCATAGAGGTTAGGGACGATATCGGAGAGATACTTTATCAATAATATTTATTGAACAGAATGAAAAGGAGACGAAGACAGAAAGTTTTGACCTTGTAGGGATAAAATGTAGCTGCCCAGAACCTATGCTTCTATCTTTCACCGTGTTCACGGGGATTCTGCCGGTGAGACTTCACAAGTTCAAAGGTAGAAGATGCTTGAGAGCTCTAGGAGCTGTGAGGGTGGTAGAGATCATGTTCCTCGACGCGAATATCACAGTCTGACTATTTGGATGCGTCCTGCAGGGTGGGACATCAACACACACCAGGATAGCACGAGCTTGTGTTCAATTTGCCCACACAGCAAGGACGATGATCTGCAGATTCGGCAGTCGTTACTTAAAAGGATACCTCGTATCCATAAGTATTTTGAGCTCTGATCGCTTCCATCAACAGGCTGGGTGGCTGAGGAGTCGGCGAGGTCGGCACGTCGGATAGTTGCTGAGCAATCCTCGGAGGGTGTTTGTCCTCTGACGTAGTCCAAGACTCCCGTTCTTGGCACCCCCTTTTCGTCTTCATGTTGTTAGGCAGCATTTTCACCTCCAAACTTTGTATTCACCTCCATCTGTCAAGCTGTTGTGACGCCGTCACGATCAACAGATGAATAGTAGGCAATAGTCAGTGACGTGTCTCGGGCAGTGATTGTCACAACAACATTCCACAGCCGATGATTTGGAGAGTCGCAAAATTCTTTCTTTCTCTTCTTTCATGCAATCTTACAACATTATTTCTCGAGCCCGAAGGGCTCATATTCTCTTGATATTGCCGGGAGACGGTATGCACCGGAGATGCCTCCATTCTTGCTCTCATACTCGACCGAAAAAGCCACTTGTCCTTGCTATTACTGCAACATGTGGCAGAGCATGATAACGGACTCGCTGATTCTCTTGAGCGTTGATCTGAGCGCGATGGACTGTCAAAGGGGATGTTTCAGCGAAATCAGAAGGTCTCCACGTCAACAGTGTGAAGCTGGAACGTCACATGAGCGAGTGACCGCCTGGGTGACCTTCCCGTTGAAAGGTGCGTTGGCCCCACTACTGGTATGTTCACATCTCCATTCTCTTCACATATATTTTACAATTTCGGAATTGTATCCGAAGATCAATGAAGGATGACCGAAGCGAACGGATATCCCCAATCTGCCGCCTCTACTCTATCGGCGTTCATACAGCGATGTAACGAAGTACCAGGGATATCCAATATCCCTGGGGACGGGCTATCACAATGTGATACAACGGCTTCGACTTCTGAATGACAATGGTAGTTTAGAGCTCCAGATTAACCTCTCCTATGGGCTCCCTAACTACAACTATCCCGAGGTCTTCCCAATTTTTTTTGGGTAGGTTGGGGGTTCAAATCCCTGTATTCACACGCTATTGTGCCAGACAGACAGACCTCTGAGAGCACAGCCATATTTGTGTGATGGATTGATACTTCCCTCATCAGGCCAGGGGCACTCCAACACAGGTTCCTTGGCAAAATCAATTGTTGAATTTGTATTCCTTTCCATGCATGGCTTGCAATATTTTCGAAGGTGCTGTGAATGTGTGGTGCTGCTGGTGTGTACAATATCTGGAAATTGTGTCGCACCTTTACCAGGAGAATTAATCAATCCATTGATTCACCTCTCCATCAACAATTTACTCGCCCAGTGTGTCCGTCGACTTTTTCAACTTGATGACTTCCGCCGCGAATGAAACACAGCTACACAGGGTGGCCGATGTCTGTCTTTCGCGGTTTCTCTTGCAGGAAAACATTGAGCTTCATACCAGCCTGTGAAAGGCCCCTCTGAATGAGACATGTAGCCGATATTTGGTGGCGGCCTGGCGCAGGATCTACATGCTTCAATTTGCGAGTCTTGCCTCCCTGGCTCGTGTATCCCTGAGTCGGTCTCACTATCGTCAATATCTTCATGGCTAAATATATTACAGGCGATGAACGTCTTCGTGAGGCTGCTGAGGGAGAGATTCTGTTCAAATGTTCCGCGACCGCTGTCAGACATCCTCTATGGTGAAATCGCGGATGAGGGTAAATTCGCAGTTGTTGTCGAGTTGCAGGGTAAAGTCTGCGCTGCAAGCGCACCTTCCCCTTCCTGTTTCATGGCATCTCGGATCTCTACTGGTGGCATCTTACATCTCAATGTGGATTAGCTAACGAGGAAGAGTAGACAGTTTATTTGAATCAAAAATGACATGCCCCTCGACATCCAACGAATCTCCTCCGCCCTTCTCAAGATCTAGTTGTATTAATTGGGAATAAAATCCGTGGGAAGACATCAAAAGTCGCTGTTCTCTGCTGAGCAGTGGAGCCACCCTTTACACCGTCATTCTCCCCCGAACAAGGATCTACATTGCTCCGCATTGTACAGGGTTCCCCACACTTATACATCATGGAAATATTGCTCCTTAACCGGTTTATGCTTGCCGTGACGATCTGTTGCCTCTTCTAGCCTGGCCGCAGCAAAACAAATAGGCTATATTGCATTTCTTAACATGGAGAAACAACTGATGCAGCATTCGGGGCTGGTACGGCTGGATACCTCCAAATCCTGCTTCGGTATTCGGTGTAGTGTTTTCCATATGTCAAGTACAAAGGCACAAATGCGGCCTCGATTCAAATTTGATTTCTGGAAGAGAAACTCGACCACTCCATACGAACGCGAAAGAAGAGACTTGACAGCGTGCTAACAACATGTGGCCGTTGCTATCCTTGGGTTGCGGCCTTTTGGGGTTGGTCTTAGCTGATGTGTCTGTCTCTATCTCAGGCACCGACCCATTCTCTCTGCACGTCACATCAGACCAAGGTATCACAGTGGTCAACAAAGCTATTCTCAGCGGCGATACAAACAACACAGCAGATGCAGTATCTGCTTCCAATGATGGTGTGGTCGCCAACAGCGGAGGCTTTATTGATTGGTCCCTCGTCCAGCCCAACGTTGTCAGAATTCAGTACAACTCTAGCCTCGCGTTTACAGGGGCACAGTTTACAGCTGGCCCTCACGAAAGCTTTTATGGCGTTTGGGAGTACCCCTGGAACAATTCTCTGACCAACAATGGCGTGGAGTTCGATCTCAAAGGCGTTGGAAACGCGCTCGGCGTTAACTGGGACAACGCACGAGCGCCTGCGTTCTACAGCAGTACTGGCTACGGAGTCTATGCTGACACGTTAGATATGGGATCCTTTCAATTTACTCCGGCTCAAGCACAGTTCATCTTCAACACTAGCAGTCTGACATACTACATTATATTGGCAACCACTCCGGGAGATTTCAAGTCGATTATTGAGACATATACGGAACTCTCGGCACGCATCACCATGCCTCCGGACGCTGGATATGGTCCGACTTTCTGGTCCGACAATTTCGAGACAGATTTCCATGGCTCCGTGTCCAATGCGCAGCAGAATTACTACGATGTCATCGATCATCTCTACGCCAACCAGATCCATGCCACCTCCATGTTTGCGGACAGGCCCTATGGCACAGGGAACTATTCGTGGGGGAACTTTGACTTTGATCCAGTCTACTACCCTACACCCAGAGAATTCATTGCGAATCTGTCCAACTGGGGCTTTGACTTTCAAGTATGGGCGGCTAATCGTGCGTTCTTGGACACGGAGCTCTACAATGCGTCGGTTGCTGGTGGATGGCTATTCCCCGGTATCAACCCAGAGTTCTTCCTCGGACCAGCCCTGAACTTGTCCATTCCTGCCGCGTATGAGTATGTGCTCAACAAGATGGCTTATTTCCCGTCGGTCGGAGTCAAAGGGTTCAAGATTGATCGTGGTGAGGAAGGGGAGATGCCAGGTAAGCAAATTGATCAGTCGGCGGCTGCCATTTGTCGTGTGCTGATGAATCAGTCTGGGAACAAAATATCCAGATGCGACTCTTCGAACAGATCTGCGAAACGGTAATGGCCAACAAATGGGGCAAGTCCGGGTTCTACAGTTTCGCCCGGTCAGTCGTTGACCGTTCGCGTTCTCTGACCAATGTTTGGAACGGCGACTCTCATGCAAACTTCACTGGCCTCCGCTACAGCATTGCTTCTGGTATTCGAGCCTCGTTGCTGGGATTCTCTACCTGGTCTTCCGATACCGGGGGATATGTACGTTCTCCTAATCTCGTTGCGGACCAACCTACGCCTGAGCTGTGGGCGCGCTGGATGCATTTTTCGTCATATTCGCCGGTGTATGAAATCATGGTCGGCACTAACCATACCCCGTGGTATGCTCCATATCCAACGCGACTTGTCTCAGTGCTCAAAGCAACCGCAAATGAGCACCATGCGCTCATACCGTACATCAAGTCCTTCACCTACCAGGCGACGCAGACCGGTATCCCTGTCATGCGTGCTCTGTTCTTGGAAACTCCAGACGACACCTCGGTGTACGATACCACTGATGCTTATTTCTTTGGCGACAACCTTTTCGTGGCCCCGATCGTCCGGGAAGGTGGAACGCGGGACGTCTATTTCCCCAAGTCCTCGGTGGGCAACCGGACAGCTCGTGCGTATCTGGAGTACTACAACAAGACTGCGGTCCATCAGGGCGGCTCATCAGCCACGGTCAACCTGGAGTGGGAGTACAACCCCGTTTACGTGCGTGAGGGGAGCATTGTCGTCCGGGGCGACACCTACCAAGGCAACAACAAGTGGACGCAGAAGTGGCAACCTAGCCTCACAATCGAGGTATTCCCCAGCTACACCTATCCAACTTCGAGCTTCCCATACTACAACGGAATGGAAGTGGTGAACATAACACTGTCATCGCAATCCACGTCAGGGACCGTCGTTGTTCAATGGAATGGCGCCTTGGGTATCCCTAGTCCTCCACAAGTCGTTTTCTATGGAAAAAGCGGAGCTCAAAATGCCAGCGTAAAGACCACTGGTGCTGGAGGGTCAGCCCAGATCACGGGCTTTCAGAGTGTATTCGGCTGAGAAACATAGACAGAATGTAGATTCGTGGAGTATGTGGTCGAACTGCGCGCGGGAGAGATGCACATTGCCCCGGGGATAGCAGAAACACTCAACGACATTATGATAGAAAGTATACAAGGTACCAAAGTACAGAGTCATGATGAAGCGACAAGGAAGCCCCTGAAAGTGGCGGCGCCAAGAAAATTCTAGAAGGCGTGGCGGATTTATAATAGTCACGTGCATCATGCTAGATCTTCAAGCACGTGATCATGACTGTCGTCCGACGCGACTTTATTTCTGCAATGCCATGGCATGTTTCTACAACTATCTTTGCCATACTCCTCGACGCCGCATTTAAGTCACCACTTCAGCGCATTGCCACATCTTCACTGACAAAAGATAATATCGCGACAAAGACACAACCGTTATTAAACACATCAACCATGGCAAACTATCTCGCTTCCATCTTTGGAACAGAACAAGACAAAGTAGGTTCCTCCCAAAGTCTCCAGTTTTACGAGAACCCAGAACTAACCACATCTTACAGGTCAACTGCTCCTTCTACTACAAAATCGGCGCTTGTCGACACGGCGACCGCTGCTCGCGCAAGCATGTCAAACCTTCATACTCGCAGACGATCCTTCTTCCCAATCTTTACCAAAATCCGGCCTACGACCCCAAGAACAAGATGAACGCCTCCCAGCTGCAGAATCACTTTGATGCCTTCTACGAAGACTTTTGGTGCGAAATGTGCAAGTACGGCGAGGTTGAGGAGGTGGTTGTCTGTGATAACAATAATGACCACTTGATCGGCAACGTGTATGCACGGTTCAAATATGAAGACTCGGCACAAGCGGCCTGCGACGCCCTCAACAGCAGGTGGTACGCAGCGCGACCGATCTACTGCGAGCTGTCACCAGTCACAGATTTCCGGGAAGCATGTTGCAGGTTGAATTCTGGCGAGGGGTGCGTCAGGGGTGGCTTCTGCAATTTCATCCACAGAAAAGAACCGAGCCCTGAGCTGGAGAGAGAACTGGAGCTCAGTACGAAAAAGTGGCTGAAGATGAGGGGCCGCGATGAGAGAAGTGTGACGAGGAGCCCAAGTCCAGAGCCAACAAGGAAGAGATATTGAGCAGCTCGACGCATACGGACTTCAGACGCGATCAACCTTTTGGCTGTCTTATCGGCGCATGTCGCTTCTCCCAGATATATGGAGATAGGGAGACTTGAAGATGGAGTGGTTCATATTTCGCGATCACTGTTTTCGAAGGGTTACATGCGCTTCTTTCAACCTGACTGAAGAGTCTGTTCGCAGAGCCCTTTTTGCTGCGGGATATTGAGCAACAAAAGCCTTCCAATGATGAGTGAGGAATCTGAAATACCGGCTCAGACCAACACCAATTTAAAGGACTGGATGATGCGTCGAAAAGGACGTCCAGGTCTTGTCCGACTCTCCTGGACAGATTTGGTTGTGGTATAGCGCCGATCTGCCGGTCCGGGAACAACCTCGTGTGGCTTGCTACATAGTCTTCCGCCGTGTCATCTCATGTGGGCAGCATTATGCATATCACGAACCCCCCATCGCCAGGATCCAACCTCACACGTTTATTCTCGGGACATTCACACAACCCTCCCTCCCGCCTTGGTTGTCTGGTTCTGCATGACAGGCTCTGGAAGGTGAAGGAAAACCAGGACTTCCGCGGCTCTTTGCAAAAGAAAAGGCCAATTTAGCGATACCACTACCCTCCAGAAAACGCCTTTACACATACAACACTCTCCAAGAAGGCACCACACAGTCCGACCCGATTTATCATACTCCTCTCGCGGTACGACAGGGAGTCGAAAAGAATTTCAGAGCAATCGTCCAAACAAGTGCTGTGCGTGCCGTACCGCGCCATACTCCCTATCTTCGTGCGCCGCATGTGCCGCAGCATACGCAGGGGTATTGAGTTTGAAAGGGAACATCGCCGCATGGCAGAAGTCGTTCGGTCCAGATGCAGGTATCGGTCAAAAAACTACGCGGATCCTTCTCTTTTTCATGTATGTAGTTATATGTACTGTATGGATGCACCTGGCTGGCAGTCCAGAGACATGAAATTGGTGCATAGCACTGCGGAATTTCTCTTCAGGTAGAGAAGAGAATGGGACAAAAGACAGTTTCCGCTCCATTGCATCTTTTCCTAATTCTAGTTTTATGGGCCTTTTACGTGATACCCGATCTTAGAATCTCTGCTTGCTTGTACTTTTTCTTCCTCACACGTCGATATTGGCAGGTCGAAATATAGTCTGTTGTTTGGTAGGCTACGAATGGTTCGGTTCGTGGACATGTGTGTATGTATGTGGGGACTGGGAATAGTTTGATTCTACCAATTGCTCTATTGTGTCATTGTGTCTAGCAGCTTACAACGGCGGATGCAACCTGCGATCCGCCGGTAACGGGATATCAATGTTCGTCGTTAAGTCGTCATGTTTCCGTGTTGCTCCATTCGCCCAGCTCCCACTGCTCCCCCAAACCCGCTGCTGCTCACCTCCAGCAAACCCAGCCGCTTCGCTGTCACATCTCAATGCTAGCCTCTCCAGTGTCCAGGCGTGTCCCTCTTGATCCCACCTCGAGATGATAAATTTGACTGTATTGAATGCATGACTCTCTCCAGAGATCCCAAAAGCCAAGCGATTGATTTGTGTTATTCTCCTAGTTCCTGGCTTCCGTTCGAGGCAGAAGCGAGGGAGTTGATGATTCGTACATATATTCAAGTTTCGAGGGCAACGGTGGTAACCTGAGTTGTCATGCGCCCGGCCTTCTGGTACGTCTGATTCTTTGCTGGTGGTGCCCGCATTCAAGAGATTCATGCTCCCTTGTTGGTTTCAGGACGGCTTGTCCTTGAATGGGCCAACCTTTGCCCACCACAGTAACACAAGGACAATGCCCACGATGGCCAGTATAAAGCTGATGGCGATGAAGCAGCCTATCATTCGGGTCCGACGTTGTTTCTTCCGATTTCGCTCAAGCCATGTATCTCTGCGAAAGGTCGTTAGTCCGTTCACCTCTCCAAAACCTCCGTGCTATCTGCCGCTAACGTACGTATGCCTCAAAGGCGCAGTAGAAGACGCAGTTGAATTTGACCTGGTATCTGAAATGGTTCCCTTCTCTTCATCCAAATGTACTGCCATTGAAAACCGCCGCCAGAATGCTGGATCTCGAACACCTGCCGCCATGACGCTTGACGATTCAGTGATAAAGCAGGTGTGTGTCTGACGACGAGTTTCGGCGATTGCGCCCGAGCAATATTCCAAAGGGTTTCCAATGTCGGAAGACCGGCGAGCGGAAACTGAATGATATCTGCAGAACGTTTCGAGATAGAGCGACACAACCAAAAGGCACAAAAGGTGGTACAAATGAGTGGACGATCCCGAGGCACAAAGGAGTGAAGTGCCACAGACCTGAACGACGACGAACCGGCAAAGAGAATCAAAGACACCGTAGGAAACAACAGATGGTGCAGGAGCCGCCTTGATCACATTCTGGAGAAGCAAGAAGGATTCAACAAGGCTGGAAGGAACAAACTTGCGCGGAATATGGCAGATGGAGCTGACAGTCGTCGCCAGAAAGCTCCGCAATCCAGGTTCAATGCATCTTTCCCGTTCCAAGGACTGTGAGGTTCCACAAGAATTTGCCTTTTTAATAAAGCATCGCTGTTTGTTTTTTGCCCACCTTGTCCTTTTTCTCCCCCTCTCTCTGGGTTTCGTTCAACGAATTCGCACAATTTGGTTTGTTTAATCAAAAACCCTGGTCGTGGCGCGTGGCCATGTGGCATCTTCATACACCTTTGGTCAGGCTTTCCCTGTGCAGCAAACGGTTGGCGTCATGGACGAGGGTACGAGGGTGCGCCAATCAGTGTGATCGAGCGCCCAGAGATGGTCCAAGGGGCCAATTTTGGGCCAGATCTAGAAAGCCACTGGTTTAGGCAGGTGATTACGAGGAGCCACTGGGAGCCCAAGGCGGGACTATTGATTGGGCTGAAGGAGAATGGCAGTTGAGAGAGCAGAAACGACAATGGTTTGGGGACAAGGAGGAATGGTGATGGATGGCGGTGGGTTGTGGAGATGATGGGAGATTAAAAGGAAGTTGGATGTCGGTTCTCCATTGGTCGGGAGCTTGGCACCACAGGCGCCTCATTGATAAATTCTGACTGCGAAACGCGAAGCCCAGACGCGCCAACGTCATTATCACCGCCAGCCAAACGATAGAGGTCGCAGCATTAGTCTACAGTACGAGGTAGATACAAGGTACAGACAGAAGTCCGGAGCTGCTCGGTACTCGTATCTTGCTTCAGAGTCTTATCTTACCTCCTAGCAAACTCAGTACCCGTCCTTAAAGCGCCGATACTCCACACGAAATCCCAGATGATACTTGAGAACTCATCAAAAGTTGACAATCCCGTCCCCGTTGCGAAAGCACTCCGCAAGCCGTAAAGTCTAAAGTGAAGTTGGACGCGCCGATCCTAAACACAGCAACTAGATAGCTGGAAGCCCTCCCCACGACCAGCCTATACCCGAACAATGGAGAGATAGCCGTGCAGAAGTCAAGAGATATGGGAGATTCTGACTGGACTATCTTGCCGTAGATCTCGCCTTGTGCGTTGCCTATCGACGATCGCTGCACCACTGGTCAACAGCGTCCAACGCCTCTTCGTGAGAGAGTAAATTGAGTCTCCTTCTTACGCTTAGACTATAGCATTGTCTTCGAGCAAGACTTGTCAGAATATCGATGGCTTGACGGCAATTTAGAATTAGAGGTTTGAGGCATGACGCTCCTGACCATGGCTGTAGAGTTCTACAACTATCCTTGTAAGGCTAATCTGCATGTCAAGCATGAATCGTCTTGATATAGCAGGTCCCAGTGGCCGAAACCTTCACTTTGGTTTGCTCCTTCTGGCGAACGACTTCCCACCAAGGCCAATCAGTTCATCGCAGCTCTCGAAATCTGCTCTTTTACTTTTTCTTCTTTGCCGGCGGATTGGTCTCAATACCCTGGTACGACATGGACCCGGGCAACTTCTCCCAGGGCGCAAAGACATTCTTGATGCTCTTCTTATCGAGCACTTTCCTCAGCTCAGGGAAATGTCTGCCTAGGACATCTTTCATACCAGTATCCTGCACCCACTTCAAACCTTCCTTGGTATACGTCGCAGCATTCCATTGGCCCGCAATGAAGCGATCGCTCTTCAGTCGGCGCGACGCCATGAGGATGAAGATGCGGAATGCAGTGTCGCTGAATCCGAAGCCCGCCGGCACAGGCTCGCTATGCGACCCCACCAGCGTGTCCACCAACTCGATGTCACCGCCATACGCATCGGAGAGTGCCGCGGCCAATTCCTTGTTGCCTCCAGTCAGCTGCTCAAAGTTCTTGACTGGTGGCATGTGCAGCAGTCGACGGAATTGGTTGTATCGTGGTACCCCGCGCTCACGGTCTCGAAGGATATCCACGGTACCCATGTCTCGATGCAGCCCGTCAGGCGTGGTCAGATTGCGGAGGAAGTCGGGATAGTTCGAGTTCGTGATTGCGCCAGGATAATTGATGCCGAACGAGTAGAAGGCGTCAGCAAAGGTGATGTCACCATCGAGCGGTTTCTGTGCGTCGCGGAAGAGCATGTCCTCGACACGTTTGCAACTTTTCAGTTCACCGTCACGAGCATTGAAAAAGGCAATTGTGTCTGGAATGAGAGAGTGCATACGGTAAACCGAGACGAACTCCTCGGTGAGGGAATACGGTACACCGAAGTGATCGACTCCGGAGCCTGGGATGCCGCTGATGACTTCACTTGTCTTTGAAATACGACCCAGCTTCTTCGTCAAGGTCTCGCCGACGAGACCCCACCAATTCGCATTCATGGCAATCTTGAGCGTCGGGTGAGCGAGAATGGCCGGAGTCCATTCCACAGTGTGTATCTTGGCCATCAACGCACAGTTGACAAGACGAGCCTTATCAAAGATCTGGTCGCCAGTCCAATCGGGGTAGTTTCGCCTCAGCATGTCGCAGATGGAATTGTGTTCCAGCGCGAAAAGAGTGTGCAACATCTCCATACCGATCCACCAGTTGTTGTTGAACCCCGTCAGCGGGTTGTTCTCAGC